CGACGAAAAATTAAAATTAATTTTAATTCTCCCTTTTCCAGCAGCCTCCCTAAGTTTTTAATATTCGGTTTAAATGCAGCGGATATTTTTCCACCGCGCTCTTCATTCATCCGATACTTTTAATACATTCGTATGTCGCTCATCAGACAAACTGCGCTGGAAACAAGGAAAAATAGACGCCTATATTTCCGAGCATCTAATTATTACTTTTCATATTCCGCTGCTTTTCGCAAAAATGCGCTTCTTCTAGCGCCAACAACGACATGCACCATCGAAAAACGAAGATATTCCAAATGAAATTCCTTCATTATACGAATCACTTTGCTTCATCCGCATTATTTTTATCGCTGCTTTTCGCATGCACAGTTTTATTCAATAGAATGTAAGTTGATCAACAGCAACACATAAAACAAATTCAATGTTGCTGTTCATTCCTGTCCCACGCAATGATGACGTTAATGCACTTATCAATATATACTTATACACAGAAATCGTGCAATTTATCTTTCTTGGAAAAATTACATTGCACAAAAAATTACATTGTTCCTGGTAAAACAATGGTTATGCGAATGAAAACACAACGCAGAGAAGAGTTTTCCTTTTTTCTTCTCAAATTGGGTGCTTTCAGCGTGCCATTTTGTACCGTGGCGTAACAAAATTTCTTGTCGCAAAGTGCCCGTACGTTAAGGTTGGGTGGGTCCGACTTTATAGGTAGTCACATACAAGGTACTTACCCGGAAAGCGAGTGGAAAAAGAGCATGTGGAGAGGTAATTAACAAGTTTTTTAATATTCAATTACCGCACGCACACACTGACATAATCAATTTTTCTTTGTAAAACAGGATGAATTTGCTTTGCTGATGCTAAGTTGAAACAGAATTTTTCAAATCAGTAGCAACAATTAGCCGTGAGAATAGCAACATAAAATGCTTACTATATTAAGCGTAGATACGTTAAAAATAGAAAAAATACTGCTACGTGAAGACATTAACATAATAATATAAGCGCAACAGTAAAAAGAACATCCGTAGACTGTACGTATACAATTCTTTAAGAAAATAATTTTATCGATTATGTTTTCAACAATATCTCCTACAATTCTTTTCACAATCAAATTATTTCGTCAATAATCTTAATATAATATCGGTTCAAAATTCAATCTGAAAAAAAGCTGTTATTACAAGAGCATAAGAGGCATATTTTGCATTATCAACAGTTACAAAATGCTATTATCCGGCCTGCTTTGAACTTGGCATTACGTTATCAAAGAAAATATATAATACGCTGCGGCCTAAGGCTTTACATAATATCGCTACGACGCTATGAGGCAGGCAAAATGGAGATGGAGAAGAATCGGGACAGGGTGGAGGCGGAATAGTGGGAAGCGACGTGGAAGTCACGTAGGCCGCTTTGGTCCGACGATGATGACGGAGGCTGTTGCTGCTGTTGTAGCAGTCGTCGAGACATCGAATTATCGCCAAGTTTCCGACAACGTCGGAATACGAATGAATGTAGCGGGAAGCGTGCGATACACGGAGATGAATGGACATTCAGGCGAAAAATAGCTCGCGAACGGCGGCTCTCTTCGTTCAACCACGTGGCATTCTACGACTAATCGTCCAACGAAATTCATTTACGAATATTAACTTTCGACTGTCGTGACGAGAGTCATACGAGAGTACTAACGTGCCGTAGGCGTCTATGACACACAATTTCTCAATTTTAGAACACTATTGGTCACTCTATTAGGATCTAATTGACTGCAGCCTTTAGAAAGCGCGGTGAAATCTTGACGATTCTATTCTTTGTGGAAAATCAATGTTCCGTGTACTTGGAAAGTTTAAATAATTTCTTTAGCACCTTCTTAAATTTTAACAAACTCTCTAAAATAAATTTTGCATACAAAATTCGTTGGAAAATATATCAATAAAATTTGAGACATCTATTCGTAAATAAATAATTAATTCTTAATGCTAATTAATTAATTTTATATTCCAGAATTGTGTATACTTGTTTGTTTGCAAGTGCTTAAAAAATTGAAAAAAAAGATTTTAGAAATTGCAGATCAGAGACTCTCATGATAGTCAAACGACTTAGACTTCTAGCCTTAGCGCAGATATTTTTACAAGTATTATTATACGGGATTACTTTGCCAGACGAGAAGAATACGACGCGTGTTGCACGTAAGCGCATCATAACGTGCGACGTGGCAATGAATTTAGCGGCATAGAATTGAAAGCGTAGAGGAAGTCGCGCGTGGGTGCAACGATTGGATTAATTTATCGCCCGGCAGCATTATCCAGTCTCCCAAGATTCGAAAAGAGAACGACATTTCTGTCGCTGTGTACAAAGTTGTAATACGTAAGACGAAAACCTGCAAAAATATTTAGCTTCGCGCATTTCCATTTGTTACATAATTTCCACACGATATTGTAAAGTAGAGCGTATTCACAAGTGTGCTCGTGTATGCTCGAAAGTGTTTCAATATCACCATTATTACATGCGAATAGAAATGACGTACTCTTTTCTTTTATGGTGATTTCAAGTGATTAGAACTTTAAATTTTTCACACATAAAGTACGCAATAAGAAAACTCAATAATCAAATATTCAAATAGATATCTCGAATAAAGGATCTCAAAACTCGAATTTCTTTGACACGTTCAAGTATTTACAACGCTGCTAAAAATACTAATTCACACGATCGGATAATTCCGACAAAGAAAGAGTGCACGATCGTTTGAGATTCTCGGCACGCGGCCAAAATTTTCTCTCTCGTCAATGGTCGCGCTTGCGAATTCAGTTGCTGCGCCTTTTCGGTCATTCACATCTTCAGACGCCTCTTCTTTCCTCGCGATTCCGCGTGCCGCCGCATGGCCGCGCGAGAAACACGCGTTATCGTAATCTGCTTTCCGAGCGTATCGCGTCGTCCTCTCTCTCTCTCTCTCTCTCCCTCTCTTGGCGTAACGTAATCTTCGCCTCGTCTTTCCGGTCACGTCGAGAGAAAAAAAAGAAGAGAATTCGAAAGCAGCAGACGCGCCTCCGCTCGTACGTCGTTCGTGTTGTTCGATCCCGAGATTGAAAATTCCGTCTTGCCGCTCGTCTCGCGTTCCACCGATTCAAAATCCGGAAGAAACTATTTGCAAGTTTAGGGATTCCTGCCGCGACTAATCTTACGACTGTCAGTTACAACGTCGTCGATGGATATCCTATGCACGGTATTCACAGTTGATTGTTGTTGAAGGAATAATGATGTAACTTCGGAAAACAATTATTCGCCATCTGTATTTTTCCATTACAAAGATTCTCCGGTAATTTTCTGTTCCGCGAGACTTTACTGATTACACTGCTGCTTATTTGTCGGATGAATTATCAAGCACACACACACACGCGCGCGCGCGCACACACACACACACACACACACACACACACACACACATGATTACCGATTATTTCGACAAATTAGATACTTGTCCGAGCGGGAAGTCGCACCGGCACGAATGCATTTTGCGGATCTCTCCCGTCCGTTTAATTGAAAGCCTAGCCGGATGACTTTCGACCGTTACATCATTCGATTACGCATATTAAAGTGACGGATCGACGGCGGTAAACAACGCGATGCAACACAACCGGCCGCGACGACCGCGCGCATACCAACCACTCCGGCCGCTGGCCGATATTACATTTGATCCGATATCGCATTTCGTCCAATTACGGGTGCACTCTAATTTACACCTCCTCTCTACGCCCTCTCGCCGGCAAGCCAACAAAAACCGTCCTTGTGGCTGCCGCGAAATGAACTATCGATTTTACATTAGTTATATAACGCGGTGGTTGCGCGCGAGAGACAGAGACAGCTCCGCGATGTCAGTTTCGCGTTTTGATACACGCGCGCGCCTATATTTTGGTAAACATCGAAAGATGAATCGCCATCGAGCATTTCCAACGGCGGATAGCGGCACGGCTATCAACCAATCGATTGATCATCGATGTTGCGCATATTTCGATCGATTCTCTGATTTTTTTATATTCGCGCTTTTTCGCGGATAGCCGATCACGATGGCGCCAACTTAATTCGGATTGTCGGTGCAACACTCGTGCCTACATAACGCTGCGCGATGCAACGGTTTTTCTCAATGCCCTTCTCTATTCATTAAACCTACTTGAATGCAACAATTTTTTATTTTGCATCGGTCGGTATGAAATATCGCGCAGTCGTCGACGCGGCGGAATTGGCAAGTTTCCTGCAAATTAAAGCGCGCTCGACGGCGCGCCAAGTTTAACCGGACGTGCGTGAACAAACAGAGATAACTATAACGATGCTCGGCCAAAATGCGAGGCGGCAGGGAGGAGGAGGAGAGGGAGAAATGGGAAGGCAAAAGCAACGGAGCAGGAATTACACGCGCGGAAGGGGAGGCGACGGAGGGATGCCGTCGGTGAGATAATATTTATTATCCCGCGGCGTCGTTTACTGTCGACGATTATACGCCAGTTAAAATCCGAAATTACGAGCAGCCGGCTCATCGATGGAGGAAAACAGAAACTGTATGCTTCCGGTAATGGAATGCGCCGAGTTAAATCGACGACGCAAAAGCAACGCGAACATTTTTCCGAGAGGGGGAGGATGGGTTAGTGCCGCGCGAGAATAAAACAACTCCGCTCTCTTCTCGCATGCCGAACGATTGGCGAAACGCCGTGTTTACCGTAGCGATAAATCGATACACTGATTGTTACGTTGATTAATACGCGGCGCGCCAGATTCCGCGGCTTTAACTTCAACGACGAATTAACGCCGATATCTCTCTCTCTCTCCCCCCCGATGAGTTCGGGTGGTAAATTTTTCAGATTATCATTTAGCGCACAATCTTCATTTTCGCGCACAGCATTAAATATAGTAATTTAAATCCCGCGATGAATATGTCTCACATACGATTTATGTTACTGTACCTACTTATTAAAAGTTTGTATTGTACTTTTACATTGCAAAGAAAACGTACGTACCTCGTTCTTGTGGCTGCTAAATATTTTTCCTCCTCCTGCGTTACTTCTGCGTTGTTTTCGGGAAGCAAGGTCTGAAACAGAAAAATTATATAAAATTAGCATATATTCTTGCTTTTTTTTCTCTCCGCGTAATTTGTCAGTATGAATTATTTCTCGATTAATGACGAGATAAAAACGAGACGAGAATAAATATTGAGATGTAAATTTGCATATCAGATTCCAAAAATACGAGCCCTGTCGGGCGCGCCATTGAACTGAATAAAAAGCAAATTATCCCAATATATTTGCGGAAATCCCTCAAGCTTTTTTCCCACTCTCCACCCTTCGACAAAAACAGCGCACATGCGGTTGTAATTACTTTTTCCCTACGCGGACTCTTCTCTCTTTGCAGAATTTCCTTCTCCCTCTCGCCGTGCTCTCGTTTCCCGTCCCGTGCTCGGCGAAGAACGCGATTTGTACGGAAATTAGAATGCTCGCGCGATAAGAGATTGCACGCGTATTCATCACCGGATCGTGGTGAAATCCACGCGGAAAGACGCGTCGCTGGAACGGGATGGAAGTGCGTCTATACCGCCGTAAACGCATATCCGTGCGGTAAAGAAGAAAGGAAAAAGAGAGCAAAAGAGGACGGAAGGGTAGGTACCCGGGTGGGTGGAACATTTGTCAATGTTGCGCCCTTACCTTGGCCGAGACGGGAGGAAGAGAAAGGATGAGAAAGAGAGGGAAAGAGAGCAAGACAGAAACGTACGACGCTTACATACACGCGAACGGTGTGTACGCGCGCACTCCACGTACGGTACAGAGCTTTTCAACGAGGTCCCTTGAAATATGGGATCCGCTGGACAAAGCGGGACCCTCTCTCCCTCTCTTTTTCTCTCTTTCTCCTTCCCCCCCCCTCCTCTCCCTCTCTCTCTCTTTCGGGTTCCCGCGGGACCTCCTGATAACCCTCGAAAGTGAATGTAGTCTGGCGCTCGGGTTCTGGCCGGGGAGAGAGAGCAAAACATCGCGTGTGCTCCAACGCAGCGCGCACAGCCTCCGG